CATCATTTCTTTGCTGTGTGACTTAAGAAAACTACTTTACCTCTCTCCAAGTCTTTGTTTCTCCATCTGTTAAATGAGGATAACAACTATTTTAATTATGACACCTGATACTGCGCACCTTCTGTGCACCAAGCACTATGCCAAGGACTTTACGTGGCTTGTATCATTTAATCATCACAACCACCTTATGAGGCGGGTACTGTTATTACCCTCATTTTACAAATGAGGAAAATGAGGCATAGTGTCCTTGTTTGAGGTCACAGGGCCAGTTACTGGCAAAGCTGAGATGTCACTGCAGGCAGTCCGATCCCAGGGTCTACACTCCTTACTCCTATATTGGTCTGCTTCTCTAGTTCCTGCCTCATATGACTATCTTGTTAAAATAAGATAATCCACATAAAGTGCTAGCACAGTGCCTGGCTATCAAAGTTAGCCATTACTATGTTGGCTGCTCTGGTGGTCATCATCATTATCATCATCATCATCATCAATCCCTTTGAGCCCCTCCCAACTACTACCTCTTGAGATCCAATTTCACCTAAAGGGAAAGGGTTACTTCCTATCTGGATACCAGCTCAATAGGTAGCTTGGGGTGGGGTTCCATTATTCCATTTCCCTCATGTAACATAAGTATCTGGGTGGGGAAACAAGGAAATACTCATTGTAAACCTGCTACTCTATTAAAAGTAATATACTGAAGTTTTTGTTTTTAATAACAATCTATTACTCTTATTACGGAGCCCTGGTGGCACAGTGGTTCAGAACTCGCCTGCTAAGCAAAATGTCAGCAGTTCGAATCTACTAGCCACACCTTAGAAACCCTATGGGGCAGTTCTGCTCTGTCCTACAGGGTTGCTATGAGTCAGAAACCACTCAACAGCTACGAGTTATTACTCTTAGTAGAAAAGAAACGTATGCCCATTATAAGTTTTTTTTCCATAACAAAAGAGATATACAGTACTTAACTAAAAAGATGAAACTGCCTGCCCTCTACTCTCCTTCCCCTTTCCACTCTCCTGTTCTCATAAACAGCATACAGTCACGTGTCACTTTATGTCCATGACATGTTCTGTGAAATAGGCCATTATGTGATTTGGACATTGTGGGAACACCGTGTTATATTAATATACTGACAGTGCCCAGATTATGAACAAGTTCCACTCCTAAATCTGTCTTTAAGTTGAATTCGTACATAAGTTGGAACAGTTAAGTACGGTGCATATCTACCATCAGTTAGTCTAATGTTTGTCTTAGTATATACTCCACCTTTCTATGCATAAAAAATTTAAACACTTCCAGATACACTAAAACATCTTTAACACAATAACATAGTAATAATAATGTTTTGATGCGTATTGCAAAGTAGCGCGTGTTTGTTATTACGAACCACTGTATGTACCTCGAATTTTTGACATAATAGGCTTTACAGAGTTGGGACCATGGACATACATGTGGTCGGACATTGCTCGAAAAGATGTTATGTGGTGCATGAGTGTATTAGTCATTTAATCTTCAGAAGAAGTAAAATTGGTGGTGTTTTTATCCCCATCTGAAAGGTGCAGAAAATGAGGTTCAGGAGGTTCAAGGCCACATAGCTATTAAGTGGATGGTCAGGGTTGCTGGAAAAGAACTTGCAGATGTAAAGGAAGGTAGAGTTGATAAACTCTTTCACTTATCCTCGAGATATGGAAAAGGTAGCTGTGACAGGTGCCTAGAAGTTACCTACAAGGAACTAAGACTGATAATGGGATTTTTAAGAAACTCTTGAAAAAGACCTGACTGCTCTAACAAAACAAAGCCAAACAGGAACTGCAGCCTAAAAAGCCAGTAATGCAGTGAGCTATCATCAACCTTGCCCTCTCAGGAACACTGCAAATTACTGATAAGTCTGACAAAGCACGACTTCAACTCTGATGAAATCCATACCCTTGCACGCCAGTCTTCACCTCCCCAATACCAAAATGATGTATCACTTTATCCTGCTGGAGAACACAGCACTGTTTAGGTCAAAATCGGCACTTTTTAGACTCTGAGCAACCAGAGGGCAGGAACAATGTCTAATTCATACAGATTTTTTCCTCATTAACCTAGTATACCACCCTCTACATATTCAATATATTTTTGCTTAAAAACTAAATAAATTTATTCATTTAACTCTTATGTGCTAGGTACAGTTCTAGTAGGTGGAAATAACAGCAGTAAGAAAAACAAAGTCCTAACCATCATAAAATTTATATTCTAACGAGGGTGGAAAACAATAAGCTAGAGAGTCCCCAGAACAGTGCCCGGCACATAGCAGGCAACACTCACAGCTGTTGAAAGGAGGAAAGAAAGAAAAGGTAAGGTATGGTAAAAGAAGAAAGGAAGGAAGGGAGACAAGCATGTTAAACAGTACTGAGTGCAAAGAAAAATAAAGCAGGGGAGGGGGATAAGGAAGGCGAGGCAGGAAGATGGCTTTTACTTTAAATAGGATGGATGGTCAAGGAATGCTTCACTGATTAGGTGACAGCTGAGCAGAAACCTGAAGGAAGTGGAGGAGGAGGACATACTGATATCCAGAAGAATAGAGTTCCAAGCAGAGGAAATAACTGCAAGACCCCAAGGCCTGGCAAGTTGGAGCAACTGCCAGGAGACCAGTGTGGCTAGCACACCAGGAAACAGTGGCAGGAGGCCAGGCCAGAGTGGCTAAGGGAGAGGTGGTGTTGCAGATCCTGTAAGGCTTTGACGACCACTGGAAGGATTTTAGCTTTTAATCTGGGCAGGATGGGTACCTGGTTAACAGTTTATAGCAGAGGAGTGGCATGCTCTGACAAACACTTAAACGATTACTCTGGCCACTCTGTTAAGGAGACCAAGAAAAAAAGGAGGAAGACCATTTAGAAGGCTATTCCAACAGTAGCAGGGAAGGTAATGAGAAGTATTCAAATCCTGGATATATTTTTCAAAGCTGGCAGGACGTGTTGGCAGACTGGGTGAGGAAGGAAAAAGAACCAAGTCAAGGGAAACTTCTCTTTACTGTATATTCAATACAACCGAAAATAAAATAGAAAGGATCAATAAAAAATGCAGGTTTGAGAGGAGAAAATCTGGAGTTAACCCTTTCATGCCCAGTGGTACATATAGTGACCATGAACTTTTTCAGCCTCTGGGGTTTACTGGGAAGCTGCTGTACCACTGACAGTGCATGACGTCACAAGGCAGAGACATTTATGATTGTTTGAAACTGAAGAAACAGGAGCGTGCCACAAATTACTGTTTTTACAGAGTATTGTATTAAGTATCTCAACTTTGATAGGAAAAATAAAAATTTTGAAAATCATTTGTTACATATATGTAGCAAGAGACCCCGGTGGGGACTCTGGGGTATAGTTAGTTAGCAGTACTTCATATGTACCACTAAACACGTAGGGTAGGCTTGTGGGAGGGGGCAACAAGAAAAAATCCACACTACCTACCAAAAATTCAGACACACTCAATGATTCAGCCTGCTTCCATTAATGAAGACACATGGTATCAACAAAAAATTCAAAGCAGAAAATAACTGGGTCACCAAAGCGTTAAGCTTTTGAATGTGCTAAGTTCGAGAAGCTATGAGATACACAAGTAGAGGTTTACGGTAGGCAGCTGGATATAAAAATCTCCAATTAAGGGGAGATAGCCAAACCAGAAATATAAAGCTGAGAATTGTCAGGAGGTGAACGGTACTTAAAGTCTTAAAAGAGAGCACCTAGGAATGAGTGTGGACAGAGAAAGGCTTCAAGGACTGACCCGAGAACTCCATCATTGGAGGCTGAGGAGATGGGGGGAATCAACAACAACAACAACAGAAGACTGAGAAGGAGGGACCAGGTAGGAGGAGAACCAAGGGAGTGGTGTTCTGGAAGCCACGTGAAGCTAGAGTACAAAGAGGGAGCGTCAAATATTACTGTGAAGTCAAGTAAGAAGGTAAGAAATGGCCACTGAATCTCTGTGCTGTTTTCTAAACATGTTCTTTCCTATCCCACATATATTACTTTTTCTCTCTTAATCCAGGTAAAACCCCAGTATTGTCCAATGCATATGCATCAGGTTTCTGTCTAATGCAGCAACATCTGTGTCTCAAAAAATCAAAAACCAAAACACAGTGCTCTTAATCTGGATACAACAGATCTCACACAGTGAATAATGTTGAACAACTACTTTGTCTGGTTGAAGTAACTGTCTCTGTGAAACAAAGTCCCTGACTCTGTCTTGCTTATGCTCAGTAGGTGGGATCGGAGAACTGAGCTGTTTAAATGCATTTCTTTTGTTCTGCCATAAAGTAGCAATTATCCTTGAACTCCTTTCCCTCCTCCCCAACTCAAACATCCTAACTAGCTCAACAAAGACACTAAATGTCCACTCTCCCTTTTAGAAACAAAGCAAAACACAGTCAGAACCGAAAGTTGGATGAGAAAGGGATATGCTGTGCATCGCGCCTTCCTTCTTTACTGGACAGAGGGCTGCCAATCACAGCCTTTGCTACTTCAAAGGCTATGCCTCTTTTCCATTTTTTCCTTAGAATCTCTAGACAGGAAGTGCAATTTCTGGTGCCTTTATCTTAAAAAAAGAAAATGCTTTCTGCTACAAATTGAGGACTTTTTATGGCTACAAAATGAGGAATTTTAACTTTCTATGTTCTAGCAAACATAATCAAGTCTCAATAATCCACACTACTGAGGTGGCAGAACAATAATCACCAAAAATTGGATAATTCAAACATCCTTCATACCCCTGAAATGGCCACAACTTCTGAATGGGCTGTGTTTTCTGCCTTTGGGCCTTTGTAAGGATGTTCCCTTTGCCTGAAATACCCTTCCCTGCAACTTGCCAAACTGAGACTCAGCCTGGATGTTGACTTCTCTAGGTAGCCTTCCCCGGCCCCGTTCTAGGCTGAATCAAGGACTCCTCCTCTGTGCTCCCATAACACCCTCTTTTTACTCATATCCTAACTCTTTAACACTTTGTGGGTATCTGTTTACCTGCCTGTCTCCCTCTCCAGGCCGTAACATCTTGAGAGCAAGGACAGAATCCCATTCATCTCTGTATCTCTGGTGTCTGGAACATATAAAATAATCAATGATTATTATAAAGAAATTGGACCGGGAACAACTTCTGTGATTTTGTAACAACATATCCTTTATAAACCAATTGAGCTGAGACTAATACTAAAATTACTGGCATCTAATCACCTCCTCAACTGATAGGAGAATCAAAAAAAATTCTCCCTACTTGATACTGGAAATAGAAGATCAAAAAGGCAAGCAAGTGCTGCTCAAGATCACCTCAGGAAGAGTTACCATACCAGCTGCTCTTCCTTGGTACGAGACAGCCTATGTTTCCATACCATAAACCAAAAAACACCCAAACCCTTTGCTATCGATTCCAACTCATGGCTGCCCCATGTGTTACAGAGTAGAACTGCACTCCATGTGGTTTTCTTGACTGTAATATTCATGGAAGCAGATCACCAGGCCTTTCTTTCTTCCAAGGCACTGTTGGGTGGGTTTGAACCACTAACAGTTCAGTTAGTAGCCTAGCACAAACTGTTTTTGCCATCCAGGGACCTTTCCATACCATAACCAAACCCACTGCCATCGAGTTGATTCCAACTCACAGCGAGTGTTTAGGACAGAGTAGAAATGCCCCATAGAGCTTCCAAGGCTGTAATCTTTATGAAAATGGACTGCCACATCTTTCTCCCCGAGAGCAGCTAGTAGGTTTGAACTGCTGACCACGAGAGCTCCTTTTCCATACCACAGAAGAGGATAATATACCTCTAGATTGTTCTCTTTACCTCCCCTCCATAGATCCTATATTCTCCCCTTCTGTCGACCCTATTCTCTTTCCTCTTCTAACCTTTTTTTCCTTTCTCATTTTCTATACTTTGTATTTGCGTTCTGTTCTCCATTTTCCCCTTTAATTTCTCTACACTCCCTTCCCCATACCTTATTTAGTCAGAAGCATCATGGGGAATTCAGAATTTCCTTCTGAGGAAACCAAGCAGTGACCCTATAACAGTAGAACCGGGTCACCGGCACATGAGGTCATATTGTTTCTATCCACGAAGTGGGTATGACATGTTTCTAGGCTGCATTTTGTAGGAGCCTAGAAAATATCCTCTCAATTTACTATAATTTTATTTATTTATTTATTTTTGTTTATTCTTGTAGTTTAAGTGAAAGTATACATTTCAAATTAATTTCTCATACAAAAATTTATACGCACATTGTTATGTGACCCTGATTGCTCTCCCTATACTGTGACAGCACACTCCACCTTTCTACCCAGTTTCCCATGCCCATTTAACCAGCTCCTAACCCTCTCCGCTTTCTCATCTCACCTACAGACAGAAGCTGCCTATTTAGTCTCATGTATCTACTTGAGCTAAGAAGCACACCCTTCACGAGTATCATCTTATGTCCCAGAGTCCAGTCTAATCTTTATCGGAACAGTTGGCCTCGGGAATTGTTTTAGTTCTGGTTTGACAGAGAGTCCGGGGGCCATGCTTTCCAGGGTTCTTCCAGTCTCAGTCAGTCAGACCAGTAAGTCTGGTCTTCTTACTAGAATTTGAGTTCTGAACCCCATCTTTCTCCTGCTCCATCAGAGACTTTCTGCTGTGTTCCCTGACAGGGCAGTCATTGGTGGTAGCCAGGCACCATCTAGTTCTTCTGGTCTTGGGATGATGCAGTCTCTGGTTTATATGGCCCTTTCTGTCTCTTGGGCTAATACTTTCCTTGTGTCTATGGTGTTCTTCATTCTCCTTTACTCTAGGTGGTGGGGACCAACTGAGGCATCTTAGCTGGCCACTTGCAAGCTTTTAAGACCCCAGACGCCACTCACCAAAGAAGGATGCAGAACATTTTCTTAATAAACTTTGTTAATTAACCTCGATGTTCCCTGAAAGCATGGTCCCCAGACCCCATCCCTGCTACTCTGTCCCTTGAAGTGTTAGATTGTATTCAGGAAACTTCTTAGCTTTGGTTTAGTCCAGCTGTGCTGACTTCCCCTGTAGTGTGTGCTGTCCTTTCCTTCACCTAAGATAATACTTGTCTACTGTCTTCAATTTATTATAATTTTAAATAGATGAGAAAGAAGAAAAGAAATCTAAAAGAGAACAAAAGAAGAAACCATGTTTTTGAAAAGCAAATACTGCATGTTAGTAGGGTAAATTCAAATAGCTGCGGTATACTTACTGGGCCAGGCAAGAGAAAAGACAGTCTCTCAAGCCAACAGTCAGGAGCCTCATCTAAGTGGGTTGGATGTTCTGGGAGAGAAAAACAGAGTATCTAGAAAGTCTTTTGACTTGAAGGTAGTTATTTCAAACTCTGAAAGTATGGCCCGCCGATACCCTTTTAGCTCAGTAATGAAGTCACCCTTCAGCCAAAGATTAGGCAGGCCCACAAAACAAGACTAAACGGGCACACTAGCCGAGGGGCAAGAACTAGAAAGCAGGAGGGGACAGGAAAGCTGGTAACAGGGAACCCAAGGTCGAGAAGGGGAGAGTGTTGACGTGTTACGGGGTTGGTAACCAATATCACAAAATAACATGAGAAGTTAGTTTGTTCTGTAAACCTTCATCTAAAGTACAATAATATAAAAAAAAAAGTTATTCCACATATTAAAGTCAGTGCCACAAGAATCAGAAAGAAAGGAAACAATCCACAAGTAGAGGTCAAGAGGCCCAGCTCAGGTCCTAACAAGCTGTATAACCTTGAGCAAGTCACTTCACTCCTCTGATCCAGTTAGCTCTTCCATAAAGTCGGAACAATATACCTTCCTGGCAAAGTCGTTTGTCATGATTAAATAAGTAATGTGAAATCACTCTGAAAGGTTTTCCATAACATGCCAATGAGAAGTAACAGGAAGCAGAAATCCTTCCTCTGAATGTAGTATAAATCCTGTGGTTCAATTTCCAAAGTCTAAGCCTGACTCACCTTCCCAACCTTGTTAAACCCCTTAACAAACCTTCCGTCACTTGAGCAGGAGAATAGTCATGTATGAGGCTCCAGGGGTGGGGCGGTGACTATTCAGAGTCAGTTGCTCCATATCTCACTAGCTTCATCTGTAAAATGTGTAATGTGGAATTCACTCACATGTCCACAAAATTGTGCAGGTCTGAGAAAATCGACCTGTGGAGAATTTACAAAAATGAGTAAAACATTTACACAATCATTCCCCCAGAGATAAATAACCAAGATCACCAAACATCAACACTTCCTGAATAGATCAGAAGGGGCCTTCGAGATCATTTACTGTTGTTTTACAGACGACAAAACTGAAGCTTGCAAAAGTCTCAGAGCTGGTCAGCGGCACAGCCGGGGCTAGGATCCAAGGCCTCCAATTCCGAAGTCCAGCACCTTCTTTGCCAGATCAAAGGGTCACCCAAGGCACCTGTGGTCTGTACCACACATTATCGACACCAAGACTGATATACAACGTAAGCAATAACCAAATGTGGGCTCCTAGAGGGAGGGGTTTTAGGACTCTGAGGGAAGGAGGGAAGCTGAGAGCTACAGGAGCTGGAAAGGGAAGGCTTCACTGAGGAGGTGAGCTGAGTTCTGTAGGTACTCAGATAAGAGAAAATCAAGGGACTATTTCAGGCAGAAAAGGCTTAAAGTAGGCAGTCTGGGGAAGAAAACCTGTTGGGTAAAAAAAAATTTAAGGAAGATAAATAGGCGGCAGGTTGAGAGGACCAGAATGGATAATCCTTGATTATATACTATTTAGTCCTTCCATTGTCTTGAATTTTTAGCATTTACTAATTTCTTTAATTTCCTCACTACTCGGTCTCCCTACAAGCCAAGGCTCTCCGTAGAGACCACATCTACCTTAGTGGTTAAGTATATAGTCTCCGGATTCAGATTGCCTAGATTCAAATCCTTGCTTTACCACTTATAGCTGTATGACCATGGGTAAGTTCCTTCACCGCTCTCTACCTCTGTAAAATGGAAATATCACCACCCATCTCACAAGATTTTGAGGATTAAATGTGAACAGTGGGCACAACCTAATAACGGGTTTTTAGTCACTCTAACTATCATCTGCCTTTTTTTTTTTAATATAAAAAGGAGAACAGAAATTACTAAATTGCCTTTAGAAAGAATAAGTACTGTTTTGGAAAAATGTTGTTTCTCTTACATATTTGCCCGAATCCTGATGTAAAATTTATTTCTAATGATGGTTTGCTTTTAAAAATGACAGTCAATGAATTAACCCATAGATAAAGCTTAGAGCAGTGTGTGGTGCATAGTAAGCACTTAGTGCTATCTATTATTGTGATTGTTGCTGTTAGACACCTACCTATTAGTCTGTAGGATTATACAGTAACGTGAAAACATTTTGAAAGTTTGCTATGTGACACTGACGTAAGTTAAAGGAAGCAGAAAACCCTTCTCTCCTTCTGGGACATCATACAAGTAGAGTTCTGTTTAGGCACATATTTGTTGCTTGGTTACTTGTTATGGTGAACTGACGAGCCTACACACTATGATTTATCTAACACTCTGCCACGCTCTGTCAATATTTACAGAAAACTGGAAACTTGGCGCCAGAGTAAAATAATTTATTTTTACCTGGGTGGGGAGCTGGGGTGGGGAAGATAGGGTAGGGAAGGTGGGGTGGGGAAGGTGGGAGTCAAATCTGAGGAGGTGAGTCACAGACTTGTTTGCTCCCAGAGAGCCAGGTAGACTCAAATGTGTCACAGGGAAGGCCAGACTGACAGATACTTGAGCCTTTGGGCAGAGCTGAATCACTACCCTCTCCTGATCCTCACCCAGGCACCTCATAAAATAGCATTTGTGCCCGTTACAGGTGTAGCTCACATCAGGAAAACCTGGGAGTCCCAAAAGAGACATAAGTAGGGTATGAATACACAACAAAAGTTTACCTGAGATTTACAGAAAATCTAGAAAATACACTCACCAGCAAGGAAATCGGGTCTGGATTCCATTCCCCACATTGTGTGACCTTGAAGTAGTGACTTCATGTTTCTGGCCTAAATGTCTTGTCTGTTAAAAAGAGAGAGAGACAACACCTACCTCAGAGAACTATTGTAAAAATTAAATACGCATTAAAATCTTTAGCACAGGATCTGGTATATGCACAATGAACATCTGTCCCTTCTAGACTAGAGGTGAACACCACTTTGGTGGTAAACTGAGGTTCACTGGCAAGCCGGCCTGTGCTAGGAAATCTAGGAAAGCAGTATTTCCCATCTCATTCATTAAGGCAGTGTTCCTAAATTTTGGAGGGGGGGAGGGGCAAATTCCTGCCCCCATTACCAATTATTAAATTTGTTAAAAAATAAATCAGTATTGTGTCTACATTTTGCAATTATTCGAGTTCCCTTTCAAATGAATGTGGGAAACGCATTAAAATTCATCCACAGAGCTCCTGATCAGCCTGCGGGGGTTCATCCCAGAGGATTCAGAGGACTTTGTATGCGGGGAAGGTCCCGACCCACGGAAGCTACGAGCCGGGGGACGAACATTCTAGAGTTTTCGGGTCTCTCGTAGGCGACAAATCCAGGACACGTGTCGCCATTTTGTGTTCAGGAAACATGGCGGCCACCCCCGTGGGGAAGGCGAAGGGGGGGGCGGAAGCACCGCCACGTTAGCCACTTTCCCTGCGAGATCCTGAAGCACGTTGCGCAGAAGTCTATTACGGTCTGGCTTAGCCGAAGGAGAAGGAGCGGAAATCACTACTCGTACACCACCGTCCCGAACGACATTTCCTTAGCGAGAGGAAAGTGTGGTAGCTACACTCGGCAGGAAAAGCTTTCCAAGATGGCGGGGCTCCATCGGGGGCCGCCCCCGGGGACAGCAGGGCGCGGTGGCTGCACCAAGAAGGAAAAGGGCCGAAAAGCAGCAGCGGGGGGTGTAAACCGCGCGGGAACAACCACAGGACCTCCCCAAAGCGCTGCTCGTAACCCCAGAATAAATGAAGTCTCCACAGAGGCACACCATTGTTTGAAACGTCTGACGGGGCAACGACGATTAAAGCGATGCAAGGGCAGGAGGTGGGGCTTATGGGGGTTTAACCGAAAGAAACTTGCAAAATGCAAACAAAGCATTATGTAAATGGACGCCATTCTTTTTATGCCATGTTTCTAGCACTTCCCAGAAACAATCAACAGAGCGGAGACTCGGGCAGAGGCCGCGGGTGGGTTTCGGTCTTGCGACTCCGGCCGCAGCCGCGGAGCCAAAGAGGGGGTGGGGGCTGGCGCGGACCAGCCGGACGCCGGGGACGAAGGGGCCCCACGTGCCCGCCCGCGCGCGCCCGTCGGGCCTCGCCTCGCCGCCCTTCCCCCCCGGAAGACTGCGGGAGCCCCTCCCGTTCCACCACAGCCCAGCGCACGCGCTCTGGCGGCCTCACGCGCACGTTTTAAAACCGCGGCGTCCCGGCTCCCGCCTGCAGTTACTGCCGGGGCTGCCCGCTTCACTCCGTGCACAAATCACTTTCATGGAGCGGAAAAACAATGTGTCTCTCCAGCACACAACATTAACATTTTTAAGCACATGCCAGTGCCGTTAGGTTGAATAAAACACGTATTTATTTTAAAGCTCTGCCGGACTCACGGAGTCTGCCCATTGTGTGCTTTATTGTCACCACCATGGTGTTAAGAGGGGTGTTTTTTTCAGTACCATAAGGAAGTGGCGAGATCTTGTGACCTAAAAGACGGGTCCTCATTTTTTTTTCAAGGGGTCCTGCGGCAGCAAGCACTTCCGGGGTCAGAGGGTACGCGGGGT